GGGGGGGGGGGCGGCCGCCCCGGCCCCGGCAGCAGCAGCAGCGGCTTGCGTGAAGTCAGTGGAGGGTCGTGCTGCGTGTGTGGGGAGGCCCAGGCCCCCAGGGCCGCCTGCATATCTGTAAGAGATGTGAGGCCGCCATGGTCTCTGTGTGGCCCATGAGAGCCATGTCTGTACTCATCGCGGGGCTCACAGTACCCACAGAAGCCCGCTCTGTCCACACCGTCCAGAGCCAGTGGGAAGCAGAGAGGAAATGTGCTCCTGCCTGTGCCACAGTCTGAGGCCCACCAGGTTGATAGCTCCTAACGCACCTGCCAGGCGAGGGGTGCCTCTTACCCTGTAGTAAAGCCGGGCCCCCCGGGGTACCCCCCGCGGCCATACACGCCTTGCTGCACATAGCCCTTGCTGCTGCCACCTTCAGCAAACGCCTGCTGCCCCAGGCACTGCGGGGAGGTCAAGGCAGAACTGCCACCTGCCACGCCAGGCATCATGGAGCCACTGGGGGGGCTCCCTGCAGGGCCCATGGGATTTCCCAAAACCTGCAAGGAAGCAAGAGTCACCAAAGGGGGCTGGCCAACCAAATGGCTTGAACGAACAGTAGCTTTAAAGTGCTAAAGCCAAGAGATCTGGCAAGTGCAGGGGATCTAGGAGGACAGGGAAGTGGGGACTCCCCCAGGTTAGGGCGGGGTGCCTTTGGAGGTTGGGTGGAGAGGAAACGAAAACCCTATGCAGGTGTAGGGGGCAGGGTCTGGGACTTAAGACTCAGGAAGCCCTGTCCCCACCCCACCCCCCGATCTCTCAGTACCCTGAGAAGAGCTAAACACCCCCAGGTGCCACAGGACTCTGGCTGCCGGCGTGGGCCCGGGGGCCTACCTGGCTCTGGGTCGCGTTGCCGACTCCCCACACCGTAGTGACCACAGACAGCGACCCAGCTGGCTGAGTGGCGCTTTGTTGCCAAGGCACAGACTCATATGCGAATGAACCATCACTACAGGGAAAGGAGCTGGTGAGGCCCTCAGGAGGCCACAGTGCCCAGGGCCTGGGGGTGGCAGCGGGAGCCCACACTCACCCATGTGGCGCGGGGGGCAGGGCAGGCTTCATGGGGTTCATGGGGTTCATGGGCCACAGGGCGGCCTGCAGGCTGGTCTGCCGCTGCGTATCTGGGGCTCAGCTGCTCTGGCTGCCGGGCAGGAGGGAGGGCAGGAGGGAGGGATGCTGGCTGAAATGCAGCAGGACCCTGTGGTGGTGAAGGGGTGGGGTGGCCGAGGCCACAGACCCACCCCTTCCTCTGGGGCTGGGTTGCTCCCCCCCCCCCTCAGGCAAGCCTCTTCCCCACGTGTTAGGCCCAGAACCAGCATCAACCCTTTCTGACCTAGGTCCTGCCAGCCAGAGGCCGAGAACAGGCCTTGGAAAGGAGCGTTTAGATTCCAAATGCCTTCCACCTCTGCCTCCTGCACACCGCCTGGAGAGCCATATAAAGCCAGGGAGCAACTCTGCTGCCCCAGTGACAGGCTGGAGGGCCCAGCTGCCAGAAACCCCTCATGAGGCCCTCGGGTGCAGGACAAAGGCCAGTCAGGGGCATGGCCTGCTCAAGCAGGGTCTTGCCCACCCAGAGTCAAAGAGTTTCTGCAGACCAGAGGCCAAGGAGATCAGGAGGACAGAGTCGGGGTAGGGGGCAGGTATCCTCCAGCCAGCCTGGACGAGGGTGTGCAAATGCCTGCTCAGCAGGGCACAGGAGTTCCCTTCTACCAAGAGGGCCCCTCCTTGGGGCAACAGCACTCCCAGCCAGGGGGACCTCGGAACTGGCCCCGATCCCACTAAGGGAGGCTGCCTGGGTCTAAAGTGAGCACAGCCAGGCAGATGGCAGGTGGACTGACCCCCACAGGCCAATCCCTGATCCCCACAGTAATATACACAGCATAACAGAGGGGGGGCAGTAAGCACCAACAATCATGGCAAGGATTGTGACATGGCCAGTGTTTATAAGCAGTTGGGGAGTGGACAACAGGGACTCAATACTCAGGACAGGACAGCAGAAGGCTAGGGCTCAGAAGGGATGCAGCAGGCTGTGCTCATGGGACAGAGTACAAACACTTCAAACTTCTGCCCCCTCTGCAGGATGGCCTCCCAGATTTCCCCATTTAGTGAATAGCCCCAGAAGGACCCATGCCCAACAATGCCACAAGCAAGCTCCTTATCTACATGGCCCAGACAGCCCCTGGTGTGGCCCCCAGGCCAAGGGAATGCTGCATCCCTTGCCCCACTACTGACTCTGTACAATGACAATGAGGAGGAGGGGGACCTGCTGGGAGCCCTGAGCAAGCGTACAAGGATTTCAGAACTTAAAATGTGGACAACAGTCATTAAGACTGTGTGGTATGGAGACCAGAAGTTGGCGTAATGGCTATGTCACTGGACTCCCATGTAATCGACCACAGTTCGAGTCCCAGACCCGGTGGCTTAAACTCATGGTGGACATGTGTGCATGTGGGCCCAAGATCACGAGAGAAGAATGGAGGAGGACTGCAGTGTGGCCACCACCCCCACCCCCCGCCCGCCAGTGATTTCTTGCCTTCTGTCTCTCTGTCTCTCTCTGTCTCTCTGGTGAGTGCACGCACCCTATAGCGAAAAAAAAAAAAAAAGACTGTGTGGTATGGACAATGGGAGAGAGGCTTGGGTTGATGGAAGACCTCAGCACCTATGTGGCCCTTGCAAGAACACCTACTGACACTTGGCAAAGGCATGAGAGTGATTCCATGTAAGGCAGTCATTCCATAAATGGTGCCGGAACCAAAACACCTAACAAAGAAATGACCTCAAAGTGGCTCACAGATTTAACATAAAACACAAAACTGTATAGTGTTTAGAAAAACACAAAGGAGGGAACCAGCAGTTAGCGTAATGGCTATGTCGCTGGACTCCCACGTAGTCGACCGCGGTTCGCGTCCTGGACCCGGTGGCTTAAAACTCACGCCGGGCGCGTGTGCGTGCGTGCCCAAGATCCCGAGAGGAGAATGGAGGAGAAGGGATTGCGGCGTGACCATCCCCCTGGGGGGTGATTTCTTGCTTTCTGTCTCTATATCTCTCTCTGTCTGTCTGGTGAGCGCACGCGCCCTATAGCAAAAATCTCTCCAAAAAAAAAGAAAGAAAAACACAAAGGAGGGACCAGCAGTTGGCTTAATGGCTTTGTCACCGGACTCCCATGTGGCCAACCGCAGTTCGAGTCCCAGACCCGGCGGCTTAAACTCATGCTGGGTGCAGGTGCATGTGTGCCCAAGATCCTGAGAGGAGAGTGGAGGAGAAGGGATTGCAGCGTGGCCATCCCCCCTGGGGAGTGATTTCTTGCTTTCTGTCTCTCTGTCTCTCTCTGTCTTTCTGGCAAGCGCATGCACCCTATAGCAAAAACCTCTCCACAAAAGGAAAAAAAAAGAAAAAGAAAAAGAAAAACACAGAGGAGAAAATCACCTTTGGAATTCTAGGGCAGGTAGCGTTGACTTGACCCCGAGAGTGAGATCCATGAAAGAAAAAAAATTGATAAATTGAGCTTTATTAAAATCGATAGCCTTTTCCTCTGTGAAAGACCCTGCACTAAGAGGATAAAAAAGACAAGCTACAGACAAGTAGAAATATTTGCAAGCCATCAAAACACCTACCCAACAAACATAAAGAATTTTCAAAACTCAAAAAGAAAAAATCCAATTAGAAAACAGGCAAAAACATGAATAGACACTTCACCAAAGACGAATGATGGCAAATAAGCTAACAAAAACATGTTCAGTATCACCAATCAGTAGGAAGATGCAAATTAAACCTCAGCAAGCTATTACTACCCATCTATCAGATCATCTGAGATGAACATTAGCAACATCACCAAGTGCTGGCAAGGAGAAACTGGAGCTCTCCTACACTCCTGGTGGGAAGGTCAAACATACTGCCACTCTGGAAAACTGGGCATTTCTTATGAAAGAGGGAACACACAACTCAGTCACTGCACTCTTCGGTGCTTATCTCGAGAAACAAACTTGTGTTCACATAAAAACCTGTACATTAATATTGATAGCTGCTTTATTTGTAAGAGCCAAGAAATGGAAATAGCCCAGATGTCCTTCAATGGATGAATAGTCAAACCAACTGTGGTACCTCCACAGACTCGACGCAATAAGAAGGCACAAACAATCGGTACCCACAAACACCTGGGTGAGTCTGCAGCGAATTCTGTTGAATGGAAAAAGCCAATTCCAAAAGGCTACATAATGTATGGTTCCCTTATTTAATTTTTAAAAGTTTATTTATTTCCAGAGAAACAGACACACAGACAACCTGGGCATGATTTTCATATTGCAGTACTCCCCCAGCTGAAATCATGGAGGAAGTATTGTGATATGAATTCAGCCAATCAGGATTATGCCTGGATCTACCTGACCATAATCACGTAGACCCAGGACATGAACCCAGAGCCTTCCCATATGGCATCATGCAGCCACTCCTCCACCACCTGCGCCACCATGACTGGGTCTATTTGTCATGTTTTCTTTTTTTTTTTTTTAAAGAAATATTTTATTTAACTTTATGTATTTATTTATTTGCTTATTTTAATTTGACCAGAGAGGGACTGAGCAAGAGAGTGAGAAAGAGAGAGAGAAGGAAAGTGAGAAAGTAAGCTGCCAGGTCTGGAACTTGAACAACAGTTGGCCATGTTGGAGTCCAGTGCCACCAACCACCACGCCACCTGTTGGTCCCCCTCTTTGTCATTCTTGCCACACCAAAACCAGTGGTTCCCAGGGGTTAAGCATGGGGGAGGGGAGAAAAGTACTGAACTCTGCATTTCTGCGGTTCTGGCAGGAGGGAGGTGAGTGTGAATAAAAGACACAGGAAGGAGCCTCCTGGCTGGATCGGTGTAACTCCTGGCAGACACTGCTATACCTTTGCACCAAGTTATCACCGCGGGAAACTGTGAGGGTGCATGGGAGCTCTGTTATTTCTGACAACTGCATATGAAGTCTAATTAGCTCCAGATAAAAGTTTAATGACAAAGCTACCACTACCTCCAGCACTACCACCAGCCCTCTCTCCCTACAGAGCCTCTGGAACCATCCTCTCCCACCCCAAACTGGTTGAGTCTGCCTAGCCCATTCTGTTGCCCCAAGAAGCCAGCAAAGGCAACAGGAAGGCAAATGCGCTCCTGCTCTTGGGTCAAAGACTCAGAGCATGGAGTCCTATCCAGAAGCCCTTAACTCAGGCCACTGAGGGCAGTTGCTTCCCATACACGAGTCAGCTGGCAGGCTGGTGAGGCAGGGTGCAGAGAGCCATGCGCATCAAGAGGATGGGGTCTAAGGTGAATTTCTAACAAGCTGGCAAGTGCTGTTGCTGCTGCTAGCAAGGACCACAGCTGGAGAGCCCGGGATTAGGAAATGCAGAGACCTGAAGAGAGGGCACTGGGTAGGTATGGAGTGGGGAGGAACTCAAGGCAGCCTCCCCCGTCACATGCACCTGGGGAATTCCACCCCAGCTTTTCTGCTGTGGACCACAGACACTTCCAGTTCCCCCTGAGCTTACGCCTCCTGCACGGGGATTTCCTGCCCAGCTCCTACACTTGCACCTCTGGTCTTCTCATTGAGGAGTCTCTTGGGAAGACCCTCTCCTCAGGTCTGGCATCCTGACTCTCTCTGTTCCAGACCACAGGGAAGTGATCTTAGAGTACAGACCACCTCTCCCCTCCTGGCTCCGAGGGGAGATCCCTGGCTGGGATCTTGAGAGACCGGTGCCTTCCTGGGGGATACACATCTGGATTTTGCCCTGTACCCCAATTCTAGCTAGAAGCCAGGACCCCTTGACAGAGCTGCTTTGACACAAGGCCAGTCCAGAGGCCATGTCTTCCTCCAGAAGCAGAACTCCAGAGAACTCCACCCTACCCTTTCCCCAGGTCTCCTAGAACAGCAGCACCCAAGTTTCATGTGGGTGGACCCCATCCCACCTCTCTGACTGTCTGGTCATCTAGGGGAAGAAGACCTGGGCCAGTGAGTGACCTAGTTCTGCAGTGGGCGATCCCTTTTCCATAGGTCATAAAGCAAGACTCCCTGTCCCCAAGGGATGCTGGGGTCAAAGGATCTCAGAGAAATGATGGCTTTGGAGAGGGCAGGAGTGAGGTTCTTCATACCCAAAGGTGTTCACATGCACGGGTGGCTGGAAGTCCTGCCTCCTCTACCTGAAGTCATAGCGCTGCTCAGCCCAAGTGTGAGGCTAGGTCAGGATGACGGAGTTCACCAAAATGTCCTGGAATATGCATTAACCAGTAGCCCAGTGAATGTGAAGTACCCCAGTTTACATCGTGGTAAATAGGTATCTGGTGGTCACCCCGGGATCAAGGACATCAGCCATCGGCTGTTCTACCCTCTTCTCCTCACTTATACTTCCAGCCCATTACCATCCTCGGTGTGACAAGGGCCTGGAGGTCGGCACCAGTGGGTGAAGGAAGATTCCTTCACTTCTGTTAGCACCCACAGGCCTTCTGGTTCTGGCTTGCCAGGGTTTAGTGGTGACAGGTCCACCCTATCCCTATCCACCACAGTCTTACACCAAGTCACATGCCCTGTGTGTGTCCCTGGGAGATCCCTGCAGTAGCTCAAATGGCTTAAAGACAGCACCACTGATGTTCTCCAACTACTGGAAGGGGTGGGGGGGTGGGCAGGGGCTCCAGGGAGGGATGGGACACTGGAGAAAGCGGCACCTGGCTGGACCAAGGCAGGTAGAGGGATAGATAAGACCCCTGGGGGGACAGGACACCGGGAGGACAAGGCCCCTGGGAGAGCTGGGCACCCTCATATCTGACTTCCTATATCCAGTTAGCAAAGGGATGTTCTCATCAAAACCATCGCGCGGCTGCTCCTCCCGCCGGTGACGGCCTCCGCGGACCCCACATCACTCTGCTAGCGGGAATGATAGTGGACGCGGAGGGGCGCACCGTGAAGGTGAGGCTGCTGGCCCAAGCGCCAAGCACCGCCAGGCTGAGGCGAGGGCCGGGTCAGCCGCCTCCGCCCAGCAGGACCCGAGAGCCGCTTACAGTCCTCGGCCAGCCCAACAAAGGCTCAAGGGAGGGGTAGGACGACCCCAAAGCCCACCGGGCCGTGTCCGCCCGCGACCACGACGCACTCATG